TCATGCCGTTGGGAGCCGCAATTTTGGACCAATTCTCTCACTGTAGGGCTGTAGGTTTGAAAAAAAAAACGGTAACATAATCAATTTTCCTTCCTCCTTGCAGCGCGCCCAGACACGCCCTTAATTAACAAAAAAAAATTACATCTTTATTAATAACAAATTAATTATTAAACAAAAATATTAAATAAAAACTAAGCAAACGTGCATTGCACGTTGCTTGCACCTAGTATACGAAAAATGTATATATTGGAAATAATGAAAAAAACGAAAAAAGATGTGTTTGCTAATGGAAGATTAAGATTAATAATAATAATAATAATAATAATAATAATAATAATAATAATAATAATAATGTGATGGAAAAAAGGGTCAAGGATTTAAACGTGATAATAAATAAAGGTTAAGGACCACCCTTACTATAAAAGAAATCCCATATCAGCTAGATATAGGAAATATGATCGGTTTATAAATGTAGGACAATACTCTATTGATATGAGGCTTTTTAGGTAATATCCAAAAGCAAGTTCCTGAGGACCAGTCCCAAAGCGAACAATATCATACCAATGTGGAGTTTTGTGGGTCCTAACAAAGACATGCTCGTCTGTATATAGGCTCATGGGTGGTATGCACAATGTCATTTTGCACGAGCCATTACAAGAAAATTCAGTATTTGTCACGACACTTGATTATTACAAAGGGAAGAATTCATGGATCAGGTTTTAACTATCACAAAATCAATTTTCAAGCCTTAAGTTTAAAAATTGCAAAAATAAGATATTTATTAATTAATTAATATATTTTATTAATTAGATATATTAAAATCACAATTATACAATTCATGGTCACGTAAAATTAATAGGTCACAGGTCACAAATCACAAATTAACTAATTTAATGGTCACAATCGACCAAATAATTGGTGACCACCATCAACACTTGCGATCTCCAACGGCACCACCGCCTTCGGCGCACCAAACCCGTCGCCAGAACCACCACGACCTCACGACAACTAGGAACACTGTAATCTCTATCTCTTCACAACCACCAACATTTGCGACCTTCGATAGCACCACCGCCTCCGACGTGCTAGAACCACCACCACTACCATCAAAACACTATTTCAAAAACCACCACCAACTCACGACAACTAGTGAAACACCGTACTCTCCAGCTCTTCACCACCACTACCACCTCCTCCTCACCACCACAACCACCAATTTCACTACAAAACCACCACCCCAACCGCTAAATCCACCACCACAACCATCGCCACAAAAACGTCAAATCCACCACCACGCAAAATACCGCCACCATACAAAAAATCATTAGCACAGCAACGCAACGTCGCGGTGCTTCGACTGCGAAAAGTCGCCTAGTGGGTGGATCTACGTCGCAACTTACGATGATTCGCGTTCCTTCTCGGGTGAAATGGATTGAGGGTGGTTATGGGGTTGGGCAACGACAGTGGATTGCGACGACAGAAAGGTGATAAGTGATTGAAGCTTCTGCCGCGTCGTGCACAGTTTCACCATTGCGATTGAAGCTCAGGTCGGCGATATGGATTAACGGTGATGATGGGCCTGGGTAAAGACGGTGGGCGGCAGCAATGGAAAGGTAAGGAGTTCGTGGTCTAAAGAGGTGGTGGCGGGCGGCGAGAAGGTGAGAGAGAATGGGAAAAATATTTGAAGTCAGCTGTATTTAGAGAGAGAGGAGTGAGAGGGGGGAAAATAAATTAGAGTTTTAATTATAAATTCAATTAATACCTGATTTTTTATTAAATAAATTTAAGATCTGATTTTTGAATTTGAAAAATTAGATGCCCGTTTTTTTGTAATTTCCTCTATTACAAAAGGTAGAGAAATCAAAAATACTATTTGTCAAGGCCTAGTGATGGCTTTTGTCCCTGATGTTAAATGGCATAACAAGGGTTTTGCCAAGGGCTGTGCCAGAGGGGATAAAAAGGAAAAAAAACTGAAGTGGGTCTGGGGCAGGCTTGGGCTTCGACCTGCCCCCTTCCACTCCCCTTGGGTTTTACCATGACATATGGGCCATCACAAAAAAGTATTTATCATGGTCTTGCTAAGGTTTATGATTTGTTGCAAAGATTCCTAATGCTAGTTATATGTGATGGATAAGAACCGTGGTAAATAGATTTCGCCACAGCATATTGCAGTCATAAATAGAGTAAATTTCTTGTAGAATATTGACTATAACAGTCTAAGTGCTTGTTTGTCAACCATTATTGAGAAGAAAATGGTGTAATGAATAGTATTTTTTGGAAAAAGCGTGGTTGAAATTGAAAGAAACTTTTTCGGTTTATATGTACAATATTTTATTATTTGAATATGTGGTAGATATTGATTACTGTAGAAAACAATTTTTTGAAAAATGGTAGACAAACAGGGGCTAAATCTTTTAGCAAATTTAACAATGGAAAATCTTTAATTATTGAGGTTAATAGCGTATACTGAAACTGANAGCGATCTAGTGCAAAGGATTAAGCCCCTGTTTGTCAACCATTATTGAGTAGTAAATGGTGTAATGAATAGTATTTTTTGGAAAATGTGTGGTAGATATTGATTACTGTAGAAAACAATTTTTTGAAAAATGGTAGACAAACAGGGGCTAACTGTGGTAAAAACTCTATTTACCACTTTCATCGTGCTGTTGTAAATAGGGTATTTTTTGCTTAAAATATTCCGTCTAATTATCTTCTTCTCATTTTCAATCTTTTTTCTTTGTGTCTATTTCTGTACCAAGTTATAAGCGACAATTTTCAAGCAAATAGCTATGAATTTATTGCAAATATATCACTGCTCAAAAATTTATGATAGTCTATAAAATTTACTTGACACAGACTGAAAAAAATTATTTGCAATAGCAAATAATTTAAAGGTACAAAATAATATTATTACGAATATACAAAGAACTCATCCCGACTAAACAAAAGCATCAAAAGAAACTTCTTTTTTTTTTAATAATATTGTCTATTCATGCACCTTATTGCTGTCATCGAAAGCATCTCAAATTTGAAGGATTCCAGACTGAAAAAGGGAATAAATCTATCGGTTAGGTTGGAAAAGGGAACCAGTTGGAGATAACTTAAGACTGAAAAATGGAAAAAATGTACAAGGAATAGATAAAAAAAATATCACAATTATGCTTCATCTTGCTGCGGAAAAGAAGCTCAAATTTGGTCACTAGCAGTTGTATTTTTGTGTGAACTCGATGCATCCAGCACTTGAGCTTTCAGCATTTGCATCAGAAAAAAAGCATCAAAAGTTGTAGGAATCTAAATATTGAAATCACACATAAAATTCGACTGGGATTTGACGCTAAGACCTAATTCTACTGTTGTGTTTTCTGGAAAAAAATTTTCACCACGATAGACCCAATTTGTATGTATTCTCTGGTTGTGAACCCACACATTATCAGGTGCAAATAAACCTCATGTCACGTTTCAAAATATCGATTGTCAAAATCTTTACAAAGACAACAGCTTGTTGAATGCTTAGCTTTACCTCTAACCCAAAAAATCAGATAACTCTTCCACTTTGTCTCTTCATTCTTTTGAAAATGTATCTTTTGAATTAATTCAAGTTCTATCCATATCTAAACAATAAATTCAAAATTTTAGAGGTTAAATATTAAGCCCTTGTTTGATTCAGCTAAAAAGTATATTAGAAACTACGTCAAAGTCAACATTTAATTCTAATCACACGTTTTATGATCTGCAACTTTTCAATCTCATATTTCATAAACTTTTATCAACACTATTTGGCGTGCAAGAGAAAAAAGATCGCAGGCTGTTTAAAGTTAGAGTAAACACATTAACAACATTCGAGCAGCAAAAGAAACCTAAGTTCGCCCAATAATCTTTACCTAAATAGCCCTTTGATCATCCACTCTGTTAAATTAGAGTTACACAGTGATTTTTCACATAAATATATGCCATCAACTTGAATGTACGTGGTGAATAATACAAATATGTTGAGAAATAAAGAACTGTGACAAAACCAACATTTCAAAGCAAAAAGTCAATTCAAAGTATTACGATGCCAACTAAGAGAAAGTCAAGATGCACTTGGATTGTCTAAAAAATAAACTCAACTTGTTGTGTTCACATTATTAATTAGCTGGTTTCTGTTTCATCAATCTCCTGGCATCATGAACAAAGAACAAGATCTTAACAATATATAAACAATGGAACCTAAACCTATAATGAGGAAACTTTCGAACTCCACCCTCCAATCCGAATCACTTCAATTCAATATTCAGGAAGTCCTTTCATTAATTCCAATAATCTAGGCGACATCGAACTAGCCATGCTTGGTGATTGAAATAGCCGAGGCCGAGATGAAAAAAGGAAGTCACTGGAACTTGGAGTGAAAAGAGGAATATCGGCCAAATATGGATTATGTACTTTATTCATGGGGGAAATTGAAGATGTATCACTACCATGTTTCACCTTTTCTTCCTTGACAATCTTAAAACCATTATTTTCTCCTGAAGATGAACTTATATCATTCTTCTTACATTCTGCTTCCGCAGTATCTTCCTCAGAACTTGTAAGACCAGTTAGCTTTTGTACCAAAGCCCTGAAATCTCGAGCTTGCGCGTGTATAACCTTAGGGGAATAAGTATAAATAATCACCGGTTGCCTCTTCTCTACAACCGAGTTTTGCTGCTTTTGATCACCCAAATCATGGCCAAAAGTATTTTTAGAATAAGAGGGCTTTTGAATCATAGACGAATCCTTGTTGATTCTCAATGGAAATGGACGTGGGCCATTGATCACCCTTCTCGTCTCACCTTCTTGAACCTTTATAGGACCCATGGATTTTAACACTCGTACCAAGATAGATGATTGTTGGCGTATATGATCAGCTAAGAAAATATTATAGAGAGAGAGAAAGGGTGCTGCATATATATAGAGATGAGGATGGAAGATATGAATTGAAAAATATTTGTCGTTTGGATTAGCCAAAATTTCTGACTGTTGACATTTTTACATGTGCTTTTGAAAGATTAGGGTTCTTCGGAAAGCAGTTGGAAGATGGTATGAGTAAAATATTTACGTCCTTCACCGTGTATCCTGGCTGGCTAATTGTGACACAGTTGCAGCCTCCTAATATGGAGACTAGACAAGAAAAAGATGTAATTATATTATATTATCGAATGCCTCTATATTAGGTTAAAGTCGCTTCAAACCTAAATTGAGTAATTAATATAAGGGTTATTGGCGCAAAACGTCCCTACCTATGACGGGTTGTGTGGAAAACGTCCCTACGTTTGATTTTTTGGTGCAGAACGTCCCTACCTATGCATTTTCTTGCGCAAAAC